ACCTCCTGCTTTTAATATAAGCCGCCCTTAATAGCTTAAAAAAATTTTTAACCAAGTAAAGTCCCTATAAATTAATATATAGTTAACTTATTTACTAAGCCTAAAACTTATTAAAATACCTAGGTAATTAATTTTTTACTATATATTAAAATACTTACAAGGCCTTATTATTTACCATGGTTTAAATAAAAAAATATTATAACTAAAAATATTAAGTAATATTTTTTATTATTAATAATAAAGTATTATTATACCTTTATTAGGGTTATAATATCCCCGCGAATAAATAAATATTAAAAAAACTAAACTAATAGTTCGCGGGTTTTTTTTATATTATATGCTAAGTAGGTTAATTAGCATATAAATTAAACTTTTTAAAAAAATAATAAATTTACCTTATTATCTTGGTATAAATGCTTAAGCCTTTTTAAAATAACTTTTTTAATTAATAGCTAATAAAACCTAGCGCTATTCTTAATAAAGGCTTTTTATTTAATAAAAATTAATACAAAGTAAAAAAAATAATTACTAAAAAAATAATGCGTATAAAATACAAGCAAATACTAGTAATAAAGTACCTAGTTTACTAAATAAATTATAAAGTAAAAAATAACTAGTAGTTATTAAAAGCTAAGCTAAAAGGCATAAAAAAGCTAATTAAAAAATATAATAGGACTTACCCAAAGTAGTTTATAGTGTTTATTTTAATATTTATTATATTTATTTTAGTATTACGTGACTATTTATATTATTAATTTACTTAATCTCCCGTGTTATTTTTTTACTTTACTTTATATTAAATACTATCTCCCCTTAAACCCCACGTTGCAGTTTTTTGCAGTTTTTTATTTTTTTTAGTAAGTAAAGTTTTTTTATTTTGCTATATTCTTATTTTCTTATTTTTAGTAAGTAACTATTTTACTTACTTTAGTCTTTTTTAAGTAATCTAGATTTTTTTTACTCCCCTTATTTTAGTAATTAAAACTTTTTTTTTAAATAATTAAGCTTTATTAAAGCTCCCTTTTCCCTTACTTAATATAACTTATTTTTAAGCAGGGCTTAATATAACTTGTTTTTAAGTAGGGCTTAATTTATTAAATCTTTTTTACTTAGCTTATTTTAGTAATTAAAACTTTTTTTTTCCAAGTAATTTTTTTATTTATTTAAGCTTTTTTTTTTTTATTAGCTTATGTTTTTTTTAAATAAAGCCTTTTAATTCTTACTTTAGTAAGTAATATAACTTATTACCTTGGAGCTCTCTTCTTACCCTTATTAATAATAAAAAAACTTAGGGTAATCTAGAAGTAAGATCATGCTAATATTATTAATAAAAAAAATAAAAAATAAAAAAAAAATAAAAAGGGCTATATAAAATACTGCTAAAAGTAATATAATTACTATAATTACTTTTTAATATATTAAATATATAATAATAATAATAATAACTGCAACCGCCCGTGGACGCGGGTAGTAAATAATAAAATAAATTTAAATAACTTAAAGGTAGGAAAAAAGCTTGTGATTACGCTAAATAAGTAAGTAAAAAATCCTAAAATTTATAGCTTTTTTTTAAAGGGGACATAAGTTTTAAATCTTAAAGTATTTTTTATTATTTATATAATAAATAAATTATTTAGGTATAAAAAATACCTATATAATTTTAATTTTAATAGTAATTTTAAGGTAAAAAAAGTGCTTATTAACCTAATTATATAAATTTATGCATACAAGAAGTACTAGTTCCCTATATATTATAAATAAATAGTTTTATATAATAAAAATTTAGTATTTATTAAAATATAAAAATTAAAAAATATAGTTTTACTAGGTATATTAAACTTAAATTTTATATTTAGCTTTATTACCAGGCTAAGACTGCACCTTATTAAAATTATTAAAGTAAATAACTTTTAATTATTATTTTTAATTATTATTATAAGTTACTATATTTTAAATATTTTTATTTATATTATTTCCCTAGGGAAAGGCCTAGTAATATAAGTAATAAAAAAAATAAATTATAATAAGTTTACTTAGGTAGCAGGAGGAAGCTATTTATATTTATTATTTTTTAATAATTTTACTATTTATGGCTTTTATTAAATAGTAAACTAAGATTTACTAAATTTATTATTAAAAATACACCTTTTACTAGTGCTTAAGGGCCTTAATATAATAAAAATAAGGGCCTATTAACTTTAAGCCTTAATAAAATAAAACCTTTTAGTAATAAAAACTAAAAAAATAAAAAAGTGTTAAAAATTAAGATTAATTACTAAAAGTATATTAATATTATATATAAATAAAAATTTAGAGTTAGAATTAATTAACTAGTCTAAACTAACTATAATAAAGTTAAAGAATAACGCTAATATAAAGGACTTTAATAACTTTAATAAAAAAAAAGACTTTAATAAGGACTTTAATAAATTTAATAATATTTTTTTTAACCTAGATGCCAACAAGGATAACTTTAAGAATAATACTACTTTTAATAAAGTATAATTAAAGACTGCTAACTTATAAACTAATAATTAGCCTAATACTACTTAAAAAGTAAAAACTCCAGGCTGTTTTAACTACTTTTAAAAAAAAAATTATTAATATTTTAAAAAAATTTGCGCAAAGCCATGGATTAATAAAGTTTTTTAAAAGCAAGAATAATACTAAATAAGCCTGTTTTTAGTACTAAAAATATTTAAAACACAGCAACCCCTTTAAAAGCAAGAATAATATTAAATAAGCCTGTTTTTAATATAAAAAATATTTAGAACACGGCGGCCTAAAACCTATTTACTAATAAGTAAAAAAATATTTAGGCCATTAACATGTTATTTACTAATAATTAAAAATTATTAAATCCTTTTATCCCTTTATACATGTTTACTAGTAGTTAAAAATTATTAAATTTTTTTGCTTTTTTGCATAAGCTAGCTAGCATACTTAGTTTAAACTTATAATAAAGCCTAAGTTTCCGCCTTTTATAATTAAAACCAGGCTTTATAATTTTAGGCAGACTGTAATTACCTATGTAGCCTATTAATTAATAAAAAAATATTTTAATTTTTTTAGCTATTTTAATAGTAATAGTGTTAGTAACCAAGTAAAAAAAGTAAAGGCTTAAAAAAACGCCTACTAAATTTAATAAGCTAACTTTTATTATTAATTAAAAGCTAGTTAATAAATTAATAGCACTAGTCCTGTAATTAATATAAGTATTTTTTAAAACTTTAAATACTTTAGCCACTCTTGCTGCCTTATAAAAAAAATTACTTTAAATATATTTATTATATTACCCTTTAAAACCTTTATCACGTGTTTAATTTTATTAGCCCGTGCTTTAGTAATCCCACCTGCCTAAAAGCTAATAATAATATTACTTAAAACCTAGTTTTTACTTTACCTAATAACCTTAAATTATAATACTTTGCTTTGTTTTAACACGTAAAATTTTAATTTATTAATAATTAGTTATAATATAGTATTAAACACGCTAAAAAAAATATTTTATTATTTATAAGATTATACAAGTTTTTTTAAAAGCCTAAATACAAGCTTTATTAAAGTTTTAAAGGCGTACCACTATTAACATGGCTTACTAAATAAAAAATTAGGTTTTAAAGGTTTTTATAAATATGCTATATTTAATATTAAAAAGGTTAAGGTAAAACTAATTTTTTACTTTTTATTTTAAGTAAATTATTACTTTTTAAACTAAATTACCTTTACTTACGCCTAGTTTTTTTTATTTTTACTTTTATTACTTTTAGAGCTTTTAATATTTTTATTTTTATTACTTTAATATTATTATATTAGCTAAACTTAAAAAGCTTTTATATTTTTTTTATTTTTATAGTGTATAATTAAACCCCCGACCCATTTTTTTTATTATAGTAAATAAGGGCGTCCGCCTTTTTTTATACAGGGGACTTGTTAATATTAGCCACCAACGGCACCGCCCTGACACCCTTTTCCTTTATCTAACTTAGCTAGCCTTTAATAACAACTAATAATATTACAAACCCTTCAAATTGTGAACCTGCGACATTTAGGGTATTATTTAATTATAAAAAAATTAAAAAAAAATTAAAAAAAAATTATTATAAGTTTTAACATAATTAAATAAAATATAAAAATAGTTATATAGTAAATTCTAATTATATAATTTTTTTATTTATTTTAATATTTAATTTATTATACTTTTTAAGTTTTTAAAAAATAATACAAA